TCTCTCACACACACACACACACACACACACACACACACACACACGCAGTCACGGAGTTGATTGCAACCGCGTGCATCACTGAGTGGAACGTCTCCGTCGAGTTTCCTTGCTTACAGTCTTTAAAGACGAAAGGCAGCCAAGCTTTCCCACAAACATGGGGGGCACACATGGGCAGAAAATGAGGAGACAGGGAAGAAGGGTATCCGGTGAGCAGAGGCTGGCAGTGACCATCGTTCGGTTCTCGACCTGGCTGCTGGGATAACCAGACAGCAAAGGCCCAGCCAGGCCTGGCCTGTGAGTCTCTCAGGGGCCCTGATGCCCCGGGAGCAGCCCTGTGAGGACTCAGCCTCCTCCCCTCCTTGCCCTGGGCTCAGCTTCCCTGATGTGAGCAGTCACACTGCGCTGCCCTGGTGGCGCTGGGCTCAGCCCGTCCAGCTGCAACAATGCCGACTTCGCCCAGCACAGCAGCCAAGAGCTTGCAGGGCTGTGGCCGTCCTCACTCCCAGGGTCCCATGCGGCTGGGGGATCTGCATCCTTTGTCTTAGATAAGGCCCTGGAGGCTCTCTTGTTTTTGAAAACAGTGGGGGCTACTCACCGCTTCCTCATCCCCATCCTCAGGGCTCAGGCCCAAATTTGAGAGAGAGGTTTGGGTGGGGTGTATGTGTATGTCTGTGCCTGCGAGTGTGTTTGGGTGGGTGTGGGTGTGTTTGTATGTGTGTGGACGAGTGTGTATTTTGCAGGCACAGATGGGCAGCTGACACCGGGCTTCCCTCCAGAACAAAGCCTCCCCTTCCTGCTGACCCCAAAGACAGGCAGAAATGAATGGCTTTCCTCCTCCTCATGAAGCTGGGGGAGGGCAGAGGCTTACAGAAGCTGGGAAAGGGGTGAGGTTTTATGGTTAAGCACAGGACCCACCCTTCACCACCTCCCACGCTCAGCCAACACCCTGCTCCCCAATTTCAAAGGCCCCTCGATGCCTGTTGGTTCCCAACACACCAGGGTCCTTCACTGACCAACAGATGGGCAGTTGGTAGTGAGCTTACTGTCCAAAGCACCAGAATTCAGCCCTGGGCCCAGGCCAACAGGGTCCCTGTGGAAATAGGGGCTGGGATTCCTCCCCTGGACTCCTCAATATGGCCTCCTCCTCTCCCCACACCCAGACTCCACCCGAAACTTTTATACAAGTGAAATCAGGTTAAAGAAAACATGAAAGGAGTCGTAAATGGGCAGAGGGAGTGAAGTCTGTAGGCAGGGCAAGAGCAGGCTCACACCCTGCCGGACGAGAGCACATGGGGTGGGGGTACCTTGATGGGCTGTAAGAAGGTCTTGCCTTAATACTGAGTTACAGGTGCTAGAAGCACTCCCTGGAGTGGGACTCCACTTAGTCCCACCAGCCATCCTGCGAGGGGACAAAGAATCCCATTCCGTAGGCAAGGAGTGAGGGGTCAGAGCGGTTCAGAATGTCGCCAAATCCATGCAGTCGGCATGGGAACCAAGCCCTTCCAGCTTTGATTCCATTGCCTGATCACTGAGTGCCAGCTGCTTCCCAGGGGAGAACAGAATCAGGCCAGCTGGTGAGGCTACCTGCTCCTTCTCCACCGGCTGCCCAAGATCTCTCGCCCTCCCCTCCTCGCCCCTCCCCTGCTCCTAAGAATGCACGGTGGCCATCCACCAGCCTCCTCGTGGTGAAGAGCTGCGGTGGGCCCTCCCATGGAAAGGAGGGCAGACCCAGGACAAAACGTAGGGCAATGTACTGAGGACTCGGGGAGAGGGCGGCATGGTGGCAAGGTCTGGATCTAGAAGGTTCCCTGGAGGAGTTACCCTCTGAAGAAAGCTCATCGGTGGCTTTTTCTCTTTAAGTTCCTACCAACTCCAGTGAGTGTCTGGCTAACCTTACCTGGGGGCAGACACATCCCCAAGGTGCATGTTCAATAAACATGAAGATAATAGCAATTACTACCCTAATAAGGGGCCCAAGGACACACAGGGAAGAGAAGGCAAGACACGCAGAGCCCCGGGAACCAGAAATTGTAGCATCAGCTGACGAGAAAAACAAAAACAGAACTCAACATCCCACCCACATTCCCACGCACAACATCCCTCTCCCTCACAGCCAGCATGGCTGCCCTATAGGCCAGGGTAGGACTGTCCCTCGGGGAGGGGGGTGGTTTCAAACTGCTGATCTTTTGGTTAGTAGCCCAACACATAACTGCTACACCTCGGGGGCTTCTGAAACGTCCCTCTCAAACCAGAAAAACAAGCTCACTGCCATCAATCCTGACTCCTAGTGACCCGTCAGAAGGGGTAGGCCTTCCCCTGGGGTCCGAGGGAGACTCTCACTCTTTACGCCAACAGAAAGCCCCGTCTTTCTTCTGAGCATCTGCTGGGGGCTTCCAACCGCTGGCCTTCCGGTTAGTGGTCCAGCATGTAACCACGATGCCACCAGGGCTCTCTGGGGGGCTGGCAGACACGAGGGGCATCTCCTCTGGCGGATGGTCTCAGTAGGGAGATAGACTCTGTGCTGCCTCTTCAGGGAGGCACCAGAGCAAGCTGACAGCATCCAGACAGACCTCCCCGATGGGTTTCTCCAGCCCTTCCAGGTAAGCGAGAGAAAGTGGCCAAGGGGAGCCTCCCTGTGACCCACAAGTGCCCATTACTGTGGCCACAGAGAGGAGAGTGGTTGAAGTTTTGCTGCGTGAGAAATGAAGAGTCGGAAACGGGCTGGAATCCAGAAAGTTCCAAGAGACCATCCATTCCAACCTTCTAGCAAAGTCCCCAGCATGCACACACATCCTCCCCCTCCCTCGCGCCCCCTCCCCCTCCATTGAACCACCTTCCCACAAGGCTACCAGGATGAGACCTGCCTGATCAATTTTCCCGGGAACCCCAAGGACTCATCTGAGGATGCGCCCTGGGCTTAGAGACCCCGTGACCGCTCCCAGTCTTCTCCACAGACCCCCCACCCCCCCCACTTCCTTCTAGGGTATTACCCACACCCAGCCGTCCCCACCCTGTTCTGGAGTTCGACTCCCGGTGTGGGTTGAGGCCATCTCACAGGCAGACTGCGGGCAAATTAATTACTTAATGTACGTCAACGAGCTTTGAAGATGAAACGTGCAAACGCACACTGTCCCTAATAACATCTTCAATACCTGCACGGAGCCCTGGCGTCGCCGCTGAGCTCACCTTTAAGATGAGTCCTTGGGGAGTTGCTGGCAAACTCCCCAAGCCAATAAACGACATAAAATGGCTTTTCACTTCTTTTATGCAGCCAGCCCTGGCTCTCTCCGGTAATAAAAGGCCCCCGCGAGCACCCGAGGGACCAGAGGAGTCGCAGGCGCGCGGTCCACAGCCCACATCACCTTCCTCTGTCCGCTCACTCGGATCCGCTCGGCACCGCACCATGTCCTGCCGCTCCTACAGGATCAGTTCAGCATGCGGGGTCACCAGGAACTTCAGCTCCTGCTCAGCGGTGGCCCCCAAAACCGGCAACCGCTGCTGCATCACGGCCGCCCCCTATCGCGGGGTCTCCTGCTACCGGGGCCTCACCGGGGGCTTGGGCAGCCGCAGCCTTTGCAACCTAGGCGCCTGTGGGCCTCGCATGGCGGTCAGCGGCTTCCGCTCCGGCTCCTGCGGACGCACCTTCGGCTACCGCGCCGGCGGCGTGTGCGGGCCCAGCCCACCCTGCATCACCAGCGTGACGGTCAACGAGAGCCTGCTGACGCCCCTCAACCTGGAGATCGACCCCAACGCGCAGTGCGTGAAGCACGAGGAGAAGGAGCAGATCAAGTGCCTCAACAGCAGGTTCGCGGCCTTCATCGATAAGGTCAGTGAGGCCTGTTTGGACCCCACCATGGAGGACAGAGAAAGCCAGCGGTGCCCTGCCGGGAGAGCTGTTGTGGGGACCGGGCGGACACAGCCTGGTGGAACATCTGTGCAGCACACTGTAGGCAGAGGGGTACACCCTTATGTTATCCCAGCCAAGTTGATGGAGGTGTGGGAATGGCCTAGCCTGCCTGGTGGCTTGTCCCTCGCCTGGTGGTTGGAAGCTGCCAGCGAGTTGATGCTGCTGCCTCCTGGTGCGCCCATTAGAACTGCTCCACCGGGTGGTCAGGGCTGCGAGCTTCAGTAAGCCCATCACCTGGCCTCAATTCCACAGCACCTCTGGGTGAGTTCAAACCACCCAACCTTTCGGCTAGAAGTTGAGTGCCTGACTGTCTGCTCCACCCAGGGACACTCCCAAGGGTCCCAAGGTGGCGAAGATGGTCTGCACCCAGCCACTAACCTAAAGGTTGGCAGTTCAAACCCACCCCGTGGTGCTGCGGAAGAGAGCCCCGGCAGTCTGCTTCCATTAAAATCGCAGCCAAGAAAACCCTACGGAGCAGTTCCCCTCTGTAGCACGTGGGGGCGTCATGAGTTGGAACTGGCCCGACGTCCACGGACTCACCTAGGCTTCTTAGGTGTGGTCCAGAAGGGCCCAGTGTGGTCTGTATGGAGTGTGTGTTTCAGGGACCAAACAGAGCTGTCCCTGAGTGCTCTGTGCTGGGAAGGTGGGGCACGATGGGGAGTGGGGTGGGTGGGGGGAGAGCAAAGGGCATGTGACTCAGGGCCGGGGTCCTAGGAAGAAGGGACAACTCTGGGGGCAGTGAAGAGCGCTCATGGAGGGGGTTGTGCCACCTCCCTCCAGTTCTGGGCGCTGGGACCTCGGGCCTCTCTAACCGGCTCCACCTTGTACACTTGTGGTGAGGACGGATGAGTCAAGCGTAGAGAGTGCTAGCCGGCACTCAGCGGGCCCCAAATGCTCCGTGTTCTTATGATTTCGCAAGGGCAGGCTTACCAGCCCACAGCAGTCAGCCTCCTCCTTTGATGGAGGGACGATGGAAGAGGCGAGGGCCAGGTGAGCAGGGTAAGCCGCAGATGCAGCCCAGGGTGGGGAAAGCGCCTCACTGCTGGGAAGCTGCCTCCCATGCAGGTCCAGGGAACAGAGCGTGGCCCCCATGGACCCCACTCTGCCTTCTCCTGTGTCCGCCAGGCCTCCCTGCTGCCTAGAGACAGGGCTGGGCTCCTGAGTCTGGGGCTGTCCGTGAGTTTTGGCAGCTCCTCAGAATGACCCCCATCGAGTAAGGAGGTCTTCTAATAAAGAAATCGAGTTTAGATGAGCTGCTCATGGGCACACCACGGGGGTGGGGGACAAGCCAAGCCCCGGGAACCTAGATGCCTGACACCATCACTCACTTATGGGCTGTGTGGCCATGAGCTGGGTTCTCCCTACTGTGAGTGGAGAAAGATAAAATCTATCCCCGTGTGTGCAGCACTGTGATAACGGAAGGAAAGCATGGACCGGGTCCACTGTGCAGACCTAGCACCGCACAGTGCCTACTCCCATGTGCAGGAAGGGTTGGGCTGCCTGGCTGAGCCCATGAAAAGGGCTGGTAATGATCATAAGGGTTCTGTCACGGTCTAAGCCAATCACGTGATTTCAAGCATCCGATCTTGGTGGCTGGAAGGTAGGTTCCAGCATTCTCTTCGTGAGAGAAGTGAGAAGTCGGACCACCAAGAGACTCATTAGCAGGGCCACTCCAAGTGGCAGAACGGGGACGTGCATGTGACCTTTACGGCCCACGTACTTTCCCTTTCACCCACACACAACTACCTCTGGGGGGCTGGGAGGACGGCTCCTGTCTCCTTGAGTCCAGACACTCCCCCACCCCCACCCCGTGGCTCAGCTCTTGACTGATGTTTCAGGAGCATCCAGGAGCAGAGTTCGGATGGTGGGGGGCTGTCCCCTTCTCCCTCAGAGCTCCCTGCTGAGTCTCTCTCCCCCCATCCTGGACGGCAGGTGCGCTTCTTGGAGCAGCAGAACAAGCTGCTGGAGACCAAGTGGCAGTTCTACCAGAACCAGCGCTGCTGCGAGAGCAACCTGGAGCCCCTGTTCAACGGCTACATCGAGACGCTGAGGCGGGAGGCCGAGTGCGTGGAGGCCGACAGCGGGCGGCTGGCCTCGGAGCTCAACCACGTGCAGGAGGTGCTGGAGGGCTACAAGAAGAAGTGAGTGCAGGGCAGCACCAAGAGGAGCACAGGGCAGAGCAGGGGTGGGGGCGGGTAGTGGAAGGTTCACACCCTGGCCTGCTTGAAGCAGCTCCTTTGAAGCTGCTGATAAAGTCTGCCTGGGACTCAGAGAGGGTGTCTCATGGGGATCTGAGCTTCTTCCGATTCTTTGGCCCCACCTCTATCCCTTCAGAGCCCCCCAGGACTTAGAACTTTGTGGAGAGCGAAGGAAGAAAGCCCAGTTCCGTGCTACAGCTACCAAGGCCCCCTCCCATTCCTGCATGTGGGCCAGTGACAGGAGCTCTCTGTGGACACAGGAGGGGGGTGGTGGTGGTGGAGGATAAGCGTAGACTTGCAGGGTAGAGGATGTATGTCTGCCCTCACCCCAAAGCAGAGGAAAGCCAGCCTGGGACAAGAGCCAAGCCAGGAAATGCCCAGAGTAGGCCACTGAGATTACATCTGAACAAGAAGAGCCTCTCTCAGACCCCTGGAAGAGCTGGCCCAGGAGATGGGTGGCAATCAAGCCCCATGCCCCTCGGCTACCACCCCTCTTTTCTGCCGCCTTAGGTATGAAGAGGAGGTGGCTCTGAGAGCCACGGCAGAGAACGAGTTTGTGGTTCTGAAGAAGGTGAGGGGGCTGCTCCTGTGCCGGGAGGGGGCACCCGCTGGCTGTGCAGCCCCTAGGCTGGGGGTGGTCACCCCACCGACCACAGGGAATCACCTTCCTTTGAGCTGCCTCTCACCCGCCCCGTCCTCCCTGCCCACCCCCAGGACGTGGACTGCGCCTACCTGCGGAAATCGGACCTGGAAGCCAACGTGGAGGCCCTGGTGGAAGAGACGAGCTTCCTGAGGCGGCTCTATGATGAGGTAAGGGGCCCTGCAGCCAACCAGGCAGCCAACCGGGGCGGGCAGAGAGGGGCCATGGGGACCCAGCCCGGGAATGACACATGTGTGTGCCAGTCCATGGATGATATGAGTGTGCAAAGGACATGCACACAGATGCAATAGGGGTCTATGATGCAGGTGCATTCTGTGGGTCCCACAGAGGCAGGTACGTAGGTGGATGAGTCTGCCATGTCTGTGTTCCTGTGAGAGCCCGGCATGTGTGTCTGGGCATCATGGAGTAGGTGCATGCTGTGGCTTCTCTGCGTCCCTGAGAACCTTGGGTGTGTGGGGGGAGGGGCAGGGGGCTTGGTCTGTGTGTGAGTTTGCATGAGCATCCATCTACAGATGGGCACAGAGAGAGTGTGTATGTGGGAATCAGAGGTCCGAACAGTAAAAGTGGTCTGTGAATCACTGGCCTTGCCTTGCAAACCCACCTCCCTTACTGGATGACTTTGAGGTGAGTTTTTTTAAATATAGAGTTTTGGTTTTTGTCTTTTCTACTCTCTGGACCTCCGTTTTCCCCATTAGTTAAGTCAGCAGCTGGCCCAGGGTGATGTCAATGGAGCTTTATTGTTTCTCAGTGTGCCTTTGTGTGAATGGTGCTGGTGGGGGTTGGGGGGGAGTGGACAGGAGTGGAAGGCATCCCTGCAGTGATGGGTACTACCCCCAGGGCCAGTATGAATTGCACTGATGGGTGTCCCCCCGCCACCCCCACAGGAGATCCGGGTCCTCCACTCCCACATCTCAGACACCTCGGTCATTGTCAAGATGGACAACAGCCGGGACCTGAACATGGACTGCATTGTAGCCGAGATCAAGGCTCAGTATGATGACATCGCCAGCCGCAGCCGGGCTGAGGCCGAGTCCTGGTACCGCACTAAGGTAGCAGGCCCAACACCTTTTCCAGAACCCTGCAGGAGGGACACGAAAGGGCTCCCACCTCTGTGTAGGTAGCTGGGGGTGGACATGCAGCTACGGGATGAGCTGACAGGCTGTTAGGGTTAGGACTGGCATCGGGGTTATAATCCGTGTCAGCATTAGGAACAGGATTAGGTTGAGATTTAAGTTCCTGGGGCTGAATAGGATGCCCCATCCTGGACCGCATGTGCACATCCTGCTGCCTCCCTCCTGCAGTGCGAGGAGATGAAGGCCACGGTGATCCGGCATGGGGAGAGCCTGCGCCGCACCAAGGAGGAGATCAATGAGCTGAACCGCATGATCCAGAGGCTGACGGCTGAGATTGAGAACGCCAAGTGCCAGGTAGGACACAGGGGAAGCTCACATACCCTGCACAGGCCAACTGCCCCTGGAGGGCAGAGGCCTGGCCTGGCGTGGTCAGGCTTCTCCCACAGCACACCAGGGGGGAATAACCATACCGCCCACGTCCCTGGCCCACCCTGGAGCTCCACTAAGAAGAGATAGTGAAAGGCTCTCTCATGCTCACAGCCCTTTGAGGTCCCTGGTCATAGATATAGATCTTCCCTCTGGGACCCTCTGCTCCAGCCCCGGGCTCCATTGCCTGGGAGCAGCCCACCCGTGCTCTCTCCCTCATCCTGGTCCTCGAATCTCCACCCCCCACCCCCTAGCGTGCCAAGCTGGAGGCGGCCGTGGCCGAGACCGAGCAGCAGGGCGAGGCGGCCCTCAGTGATGCCAAGTGCAAGCTGGCCGGGCTGGAGGCTGCCCTGCAGAAGGCCAAGCAAGACATGGCCTGCCTGCTGAAAGAGTACCAGGAGGTGATGAACTCCAAGCTGGGCCTGGACATCGAGATCGCCACCTACCGGCGCCTGCTGGAGGGCGAGGAGAGCAGGTGAGGCTAGGGAGGGGCCCCGCTCTCCAGGAGTGAACGTCTTTGAGCCCAAGGGGAAGCTGTATCTCTGACTACGCCTAGGTCAAGCTTCAGTGGTATTAACAACAATAATCATCATTTCCCAGAGACTTACCATGTGCCATTTCTGTGCCAAGAGCTAATGTTAATCCTCACAATTCTGTGAGGTAGCCCCGTTTACCCAGCCCACCCAGAGATAGAGGGATACGGCCCAGCGAGGCCAGAGGGCGTTCTCATGGCCACACAGGTAATAAGGGAACAAGCTGGGACCTACAGCTAAGCCCTGTGCTCCCCCAAGTCCCTTCCCTTGGCCACTTTGCTGCAAAAGAGAACTGCCCCCTCCCTCAGGCTGCTGCCTGGCCTGCTGCACAGCCTTGTATGCCGGCATTATAACACACCCATAGGTGCGTAGCTCTCTATCACCCACGGGGTCCTGCCACACACATGGCTGCACTGGCTTCAACTCCCATTCATGTCACCTGGTCTGCTCTGACCTGGTCACCTAGATTGTTGCTGGACTCTGCTAGAAGCCAGAAGTGTTGATGCATTTCAGAGCAGGAGCGTTTAATCCACACCTAGGGGAAGCCCTGCCTGCCCCTCTGGCTTGGGGGTGGGAGTGAGGGTAGAACCTGTTCCCCCTCCCCCAAAGCATCCATCCAGCCCAGGTGCCCCCTGACATCCCGGGCTAATGTGCTCTCCCTCTCCACAGGCTGTGCGAAGGCGTGGGCTCCGTCAATGTCTGTAAGTATCTGCTTTGCCAAGGCTCGCAGCTGCGCTCAGTCGCCTAACCCACTCACCCTCCAGGGTCCTCTGACCAGGAGGGGGCACCTTTTGTTCCTCCCTGGGCTCCCCTTACAGAAAGCAGAGTGGCACTGCAGGCCACAGCTTTGCCCTTCTGGGCCCCACATCCCTAGGTGAACGGTGATGCGGAGCTGCGAACCACCAGGCTCATGGTTCAAACCCACCAGCCACTTGGAGGCAGACAGAGTGACAGCCTGGGAAACCCTGTGTGGGGTTGTTATGACTCAGGATCCATTTAATTTGGGTTTAAAGCCCCTTTTAAAGGCAACCTGGTGGCTCAGTAGTTAAAGCGCTCCACTACTAACCTGCACCTTCAACTCACCAGTCACTTCCCAGGAGACTGATTGGGTCAGCTGCTTCCGGAAAGACGGGCAGCTTTGGAAACCCTGCGGGGCAGGGCTACTCTGTGCTGGGGTGGGGGTGGGGAGGAGGTCACTCTAGGAGCCCTCGTGGGGAACGTTACTGCGTTGGGCTGTGATCCTCAAGGGTTCTCAGTTCGAAACCACCAGCCCCTTCGAGGTAAGAAAGACAGGGCTTTCTACCCCATAAGCAGTTTCAGCCACGGAAGCTCGCAGGGACAGTCATCGAATCCATGGCAGTGAGTTTGGTTTGGGTCTAAAGGAGTCAGAATCAACTCCAAGGCCATGGGTTGGGCTTGGTCTTTGGAAACTCTTCTTGGAGTCCCTGGGGCAGGGGGTAGGGTGGGGAGAGGAGGGGTTGCCAACAATTGACAGGCTTGACTGCTAAGCCCCCGGTTGCGACAACCTACTCCCCTAAGTCAGCCACTGAAAGCCCCGGCGAGTGCAGTTCCAGGCTTACCCACGTGGGGCGCCGGGGGTGCTAGCCTTTCGCCCCTGCCATGGGCGGACGCACTGCAGACCGATCCCGCCAGGCTCTCAGCCTAGCGTCTCCTCCCTTCCTTCCCTCCTGCAGGCGTCAGCAGCTCCCGCGGCGGAGTCTCCTGCGGAGGCCTCACGTGTAGCACCACCCCAGGGCGCTCCATCGCCTCTGGGCCCCCCGCCACCGGCGGCTGCATCACGGTGATGGCGCCGGACGCCTGTGCCCCCTGCCATCCCCGCGGCTCCAGCTTCAGCTGCGGGAGCAGCCGGTCGGTCCGCTTCGCGTAGAGCCTGGGCATGCAGCCCAGCGCCTGCCCTGCCTGTGCCAGCTTGGCTCTGCCTGGTAGGAGAGCAGCTTGTGCGCTTGCTTCCACATCTCCCAGATGTTCCCAGGGAGGGAAGGACCTGTGCTCTCTTCTAGGAAGTGGTTTTCGCTTTCTTCTCTTGGCTCCAGTTTAGAGAGCAGGCCCCAGCCCTCCACCTAGCGCCAACTTAACTCCCAAATAGCTGTGGACGATTTGTTGGAGAGCCCGCAGCCTCTGGGACCTGGCCGGGCCGGAGCTGCGCAGGGAGGAGAGGCTGACCTTCCCCTGGGACATGGACAAGCCTGGCCATCCAGCCATGTCTCCCCAAGCCCGAGAAGCCCCTCCCACCAGTTCCCCAGCCTATTCCCGCCTGGATGGCTAGGCTGGTCGCAGCCAGAAAGGCTGGCTGTTGCTTTTTGAGGGTGCCCTGCTTGTCGTTCTGACTGAGAGGCATGTTCTGCCTTGATGGAGCACTCCTGGGATCCAATTAAACTCCTGGTCCCCAGGCCCAGGAGGGTGCCCACCGCCCCCTTGCTGGCCAGGGCACTTTCTACATTTCAAAGCAAACCGCAGAGACCTCGCCCTGCCCTGCTGGGTGCAGGCTGTCTGGCCCAGGCAAAGCTGGTGGGGTGGAGGTTAGGCCACTTCCTGGGGCTCCCTCTAGGTTACAGCTGTCTGCGGGTGCCTTGCGTTCTGGGTTGTCTCGTCTGTGTTTCAATAAATGCTGCCGCAATGCACGTGATCTTGTGGACCCTAGCGCCTTCACGCCTGCAATGCATGCGACTCTCAGAGCTCTTCTGCGCCTTTCCAACCAACCCATCCTTGGCCAGCCCCAGGCCATCTCTCCCAAGCCCCCAGAGACCCCCACCTTGTCCTTGCCACTTCCACAGCCTGGCTCCAGCTTAGCCCTGGGGCCTGACCACAGCCTCAAATCCCCACCAGACCTTGGTCGCCCCCACCTCTCCCCTGGAAGCTCCCAGCAGCCAGACCCGGCCATAGGAGCCCAGGTTCAAATCCCTCCATGGCTCGGTTTGTCCTGCTTAGGTCAACTGAAGGCTCGCTCCACCTCCTCACTTCCCACCTGCCCCTCACCCTGCCCAAGCCCTCCACTCAGGGATGTGGATCCCACCTCACAGGAGGCAATCTACTCTCTGAGCCCCCCCGCCCCGTCCCACGTGGGCATGGGCTACCCCCACACCCCTCCTTCCATTTGCACTCCCCACAGTGTCTGGGGCCCTGGGAATCTCCCTTTCCACCTTATGGCTCTGGACCAGGAGTATCAAGGGGTATGTCTGGAGCCTGGCTCAGACTGGATGTTTCCAGAGGGAAGGCAGTGTCTCCCCAGGACTCTGGTCCACTCGAAGACCCAGGATTGGGTTGGTTACAGCAGGCAGGGACGCTTGGATGACACGGGTGGCTGGCAAAGTAGAGGATTTAGACACCATGCTCTCTGAGACCACCCTCCACTTTTCCATCCCCACCCACTGCAGTGGGATTGATTCCAGCTCATAGCCACCTGGCATGGGCTTTCCGAGGCTGTCAATCTTTTCAGGAGCAGACAGCCTCATTTTTCCCTCACAGAGTGGCTGGGGCGGGCGAGTATTGACGTGCTGGCCCTGTGATTAGCAGTGTGGCACTTACGTCCAGGGACAATGGGGCTCCTGACTTCTTCACCCAACAACTCCCAACTCACTGTGTCTACTGACAGTGACCTTACAGGACAGGGAAGACCTGCCCCGGTGGCTTTCCGAGATGACTGTGACTCTACAAATGCTGAAAGCCTAGTCATTTTCCCGATACTCCTCAATAAGAGGAAGAAATTGGCTGCCACCAGTGCCACCATTGTACTGCCTCACCCCACCTCCTCACCCCCCATGCCTCCCCCCCTTGCCTCTTCTCCTGGTTGCAGAAAGCAAGGCTTGTGTTCTGGTGGCTCCTCATGTCGGGCCCAAAGAGCTGCGGTTCCACCAGGAGCCACTGACCTCTCCTGGGTTTGTCAGCAGGGAGCCTCTGGCCTGCCTGCTCCCTGCTGCCACCTCCCTAGGGCTTGAGGGCATGGCCATCGTCACAGCAGACCAACTTCCCAGATGGAGGGCCTCCTTTGTCCCCAGGAGAGGGTATATCTCAGGAGTCAAAGGTCAGGAGGTCAAGTACAAGCCCCAACTCCACCAGGTTTCCAAAAGGCCGTGGACAAGAAGGGGCATTGTGTTTTAGGCTTTTCCTGAGGATCTTCCAAGTGAGTGGGGCTGGGCCAGATCACCTGCAAGGTCTGCCCAGCCCTGCATCCTGTGAGGATTCTCTGGGTAGGAGAGAGTCTTTGCCTGATGTTATCCGGGATGTCGGCTCACACATCTACCCTGTATCCCACAAATACGACCCAGTGCCTTGAAAAGTCAGAGCCAGGACACAGGGGATATGAATAAGCATCTTAATAAGTTCCTATGCGTCATATGTAAAGACAGTGCCCTGGCCCAGCCAGCCAGAGAGACAGCTGGTTTGTGACACTGTCAACCCTCTTCCCCAGTCCCCCTGGAGACCAACAGAGAAAATCTAGACAAGCTCTTCTGGATCAAAGTTTCGCGAGGTCCCGTGTCCCTCCCCTGCTGGAAGAGCAACTCCCCACATCAAGCAAAGAGCATGACCAGGCTTGGTGTGATGTTAGAAAACAAAACCTTTAAAGGGGAAGTCGAGGGATCTGGAATGGACAGTCAGGAGCAAGTCAGGAGAGGAAGGGGCCAACCAGCAAGTAGGATCGTGAGAGGGATTTCTTTGACAATATCGAGCGTATCACTGATGAACGAAGACCTTTATCAGAGAAACCCAGAGCTTCCGCCTGTCTCTCTTGGATGCTCATTTAATCCACAAAGTCCTCCTCCAAATTCTCTCTCTGTCTCCAACCATAGCCAAACTGTGGGTTTGTGGGACTAATGGATGACGGATTGGAAAGCCCAGTCTTTCTCCCAAGGAGCTGCCGGTGCCCAACATGTAACCACTACCCCACCAGGGTTCCTTAATGTCTCCATGGGATTATGAAATCTGGATTACAGCCCTTTAAACACACACACACACACACACACACACACACACACACACATGCTCTCTCTCTCTCAATGTCTCCATGAGATTATGAAATCTGGGTTACAATCCTTTGAACACGCACACAGGCACACATAGGACCATCAGCCACTGCGCACCCTGTGGAGGGAGCATCTTGCCACCTAGCCCCTGGGGTCACCATGAAACTGTCCACAATACACAAAAGAAGGAATAACACCCGAGGCACAAATGCGTAAATACAAGCACTCACCCCTCCAACCGCAAAGAGGAGCCACACTCCCTCCCCCTGTGCGCCCCCCACTGCAGGGTGGCAGGTGGCAGTGGAACTTCTTTCCGGTTCCAAACCGCTCTGGCGACCCCTTTCAACCAGATGGTATGTATCCCTACTCACACCTGGTAACGTGCCCCCGACACCCCACACACACACACTTGGACCCTCTCCGCTGGAGGCAGAGAACAGGGGAACGCCGCACTGCTAACAAAGACGTGCTTGCTTCTCCCGGGTGAAGGCACTGCCTGCCAAGTATGGGGACAGGGCTGGAGGGGGTCACGGGGGCTGCGTTAACCAAGAGGCCTGCCCCAGGTTTTCTTCTAGCTTGAGATCAAATACGTGTTCCCCATGCAAACTGTCCTCTCTCCAGTCACATCTTTCCAGACCTCTGGCTTCAGAGGGAACACGGAGCAGGCTTCTGTAGGTGGGACAGGACGTCCCTCGGTGCAGACTTCTTGGGGACTGTCATGTCAGGAATAAGCCAGGGCCAGGGTTTACCAATCAACAGCCTTTGGTCAGATCAGGGGGGAACCCCTCCAACCAGGCGGATGATTCGGAAGCCTGGGTTCCCAGCTAAGAGACCTGGGTTCACAGCTTCATAATAAGAGCTCCAGGAGATAGAGACCCCTGGATCCAGAGCTCTCAGAGAGCAACTGGCTCCTTCCCCCTGGCAGACAAGCCTCGAAGTAGAAGCCTGCAGGAGTAACTCGTGTTCAGCTGGAAAGGAAGAGCTGGGGAATGGAGTGGGAAGGCATGTGAATTTAGCTGCTCACCGAAAGGTTGGGGATCTGAACCCTCCCAGCCGCTCCGAAAGTCGAGAGGCCAGAAGACATGGCCCCCCAAATACTACTGCCTAGAAACCCCTGTGGAGCAGTCCCGGGGTGGTACCAACAGTATGCTTAGTGCACTCAACCACTAACTAAGGTCCGCAGAAGAAAGGCCTGGTGGTGGACTACTGAACAATCAGTCACTGAACGACAGAGCTCAGGTCGACTCAGACACACGTGGAATCCTCGTGAGGTGGGCGCGACTGGACCACAACTAGTTAGACCCGATTTCGGAGGCGGGCCAGCGGTGTGAACTTCGTGAGGTTCTGACCTTCTGCGAGCCTTAGTTGGGTCTGTGACATGAGGACAGCGATGCTGAGCTCTGAGGGATGAGTGGACAACCTAGATACCTGACGCTGGCAGGTGCTTAAGGAAGGCCGGCCCCTTTCTCCCTCCTCATAGCTCCATCCTCTGCCCACAAGAGTGAGTGGCTGTCAGCCCTGAGCTCTGCCAGGAGTCGCCAGTGAGGCTGGTAACCTGCAGGTCCCTGGGCTCTCCTCCCTCCCCTGGGGTTTTGCTTCGGTTGTTCCGTGTGGGGCCCCAGGATCTGTTTCTGGAACAAGGACTGAGGTGATCTTGGTGCAGCACGGGTCCACAGCTACACCTTGAGGAGCCATCAGGATTGGGGGTAGGTCGAAAACAAACAGAGAAACAAAACACAAAGGAGATGGGTGTTGCTGGGTTACTAGGGAGCCAGCCTTTGGCCAGTGGCATTTAATCAATCACCAACAGAGGGGAGCAGGGCATGGCAGGGATTGCCCCAATACAATGAAATACCAAACCATCCGTAATACAAACAAAACCCCAAACACTGGGCTGGTTCTCCTCAGCATTTCCATCCCCACGTGAGGATCTTCATGGAGGCTCTGGGCGTAGCTCTGCCTCAGACCTCTCAAGTGAGGGCTTCCCTGAGCCCCCTGCCAGTGCCCCCACCCAGACACCAGCCTGCACTGTGATGTCCCTGCAAACATCCAGTACTTCATACATGTTAGCTGGGGAGAAAACAACTCAGCCAGGTATACTGAAAAGCCTTTACACCCCTCTCCTCCCGGACAGCTGGTGGAGGCGGCAGTCATACCCATCCTGGGTTCCCATAAAGGGGAATTACTAAGCTAATACTTGGATCTGAGAGAGAAGCCATTTCGTCCTCCCGCACCCCCATCAGACCAGATCTGCTCACAGTCTCAGCCCCGCTATGCAAACCGCACAGATCTTGCACTGGGGTAGCCCCCCATGACAGAAGGGGAGCAGAGGGCACCGCTGCTGACGGCCACACCGCCCAGGCCACGCGAGCCCGTGGAGCTGAGGTCCCCGCACACCACGCCACCCTGGGAACGGCTCACACCTGTGGACAGAGACACAGGGTCAGAAGTCACTCCAGCCTAGACGTGGAATGGCTGGGGATCTTTGATGAGCGATGACCGATTCTCTTCCCGCTTGGGGAGTCCGGCAACCACGGGCAGGGTTCTATCTGACCCATCTGCTTCTTAGACAAACCAGACCGCTAATGCTATGTGGCCTAGATGGCTGTTGAGGTACAGTCTTTGCACACACACACAAATGATAGACCACAGTAGATAAATAATCTAGAAATGTGGTGGTTGGAAAAGGGGGGGTAGGTGGATCAGAAACAGACCCTCAGTATGGGGGCTATGTGACACAGACATCGGGTTGGCAGAGATTTACAAGTGGCCCGCAGTATCCCCAAATGACCAGACTATCCATCTAATATCCTTTACTAAAACGTGCTCCCTACCAGGTTAGGGGTGTTCTACCTATATCTTGAAGGCATAGGCTACAGGTGCAGAATCCAGTGGGGTGTGTGTGTGTGTGTGTGTGTGCTGGAAGGCATAGGCTACAGGTGCAGATCCAGTGGTGTGTGTGTGTGTGTGTGATGTTGCTATGCTCATGATTTTGGCTTCATTCTGTCCCTGGTGGATGGATAGAGCGGCCAAGCGCTAAAGGAGTTGCCCATCTTCCAGATCCCTTGGACTTGCAGGCTCCTCACCCATGTCCCCTAGACAGAGGCGCAGCCACCTGACAGGTGCATCCTGATCTTAAGACTAATGAGAATCAGCATTGCCCACACCCCTCAACTTACAGATGTTGATGGAGCCCACGCCTTCACACAGCCTGCAGGGGAGAGAAGAGAGTGAGCAGTTAGGACCAAGTTCTTCTGCGTCTGAGGCCAGCACCGTCTCCCCCCAGCCTGAAGGAGGACCCCCCAGGGCTGGCGATGCTCATTGCCATCCCAGAAAAAGAGGCAACGCTGGGCTGCAGGACCCCCCAAGGCAACTCTGTGCCTCATTTACTTTTCAGCCAAGGAGACCTCATCGCCTGAAAGGAAGAGATGAGGGCGGGGATCAGCCTCCTTATTTCTGGCCTGGAAACGGCAGCAAGTCCCTGAATCCTGATGGGAGGAGCTCCTGCCTGGCTGGACACGTCGGGTGAGAAAAGCAGAGCTCTTGTGCACACTGGTTTGTTTTTATCTCATCATTTTAAACGCTGCCCTAGACACCCACCTGATTGCACTAACTGCATTACATGCAGAGGAAGGTGCTTGGACCCCAGAGCCAGGCAACAAAAAATATCCACTCACTGCCACCAAGTCCTTGCCAGCTCGCAGCAACCCTACAGAACAAGGGAGCACTTCCCCCGTGAGTTTCCAAGTCTGTCAACTGCTTGTGGGAGTGGAAACCCCCGGCTTTCTCCTGAGGCATGAGTGACTATGGGTTTCAAACTACTGACCTGACAGTTAGCAGCCCAGCGCATACCCACTAGGCCACCAGGACTCCTTGGAGGCAGATAGCGCAGAGTCAAATATGGCTGCGCCTCTGTCTGCTCAGAAAATGGAAACGATGATACACCCTACTAGGATTGTTGTAAGGATTATTGAGCTCTCCACATAGAGTGCCTAAAGTAGAGATTGGCACACAGTAAGTCCCGCAGAGGAGCCCTGGTGTAGTGGTTACTCATTGGGCTGCTAACTACAAGGTCAGCAGTTCAAAACTACCAGCTGCTCCTCAGGAGAAAGATGGGGCTTTCTACTCCTATAAAGAGTTACAGTCTGGGAAACCCACAGGGGCAGTTCTACCCTGTCCTATAGGGTCACCCTGAGTCTGAATGGACTTGGTGGCTGTGATTTTAAGTCGTATGTGTTTGTTATGAACACTTTAACTTTAAGCCACCGAAGCGGGCTTTTCATCAACGCTCCCTCCTCCCTGGGACCCCCTGCATGTTCTGGCCTCCCTCTCCCGGTCTCTAAGCTCTAGCTTCAACCCTTCTGCTCCAGAAAGCTCCACTCCAATTCATCCCACCCAGGATCCAGTCCTCTGGTTCTCTTTCCTGTCACAGGAATCAACGTTGCCACAGCCTTCTAGAAGTTTCTAGCCAAGGTCTATCATGGTGCCTGTTGCTCATAAGCTGAAACGGTGGCAGAGACCAGCGCTGAAGGAATGGTACTGGCGTTGTTGTTTTCTGTTTTCTGTGTTTGGGCACTGCTCGTATAATCAAGTGAAGTATCTTAAATCCCCAAAGGAAACGGCCACAACCTGAGAACCCTAATAGCACAGCAGCATGCTTAAAGAGGTGTGGGGGACCGGGGACCATTCGTTTTATGACTGAGTCCCTGATCCACCCATCCGGATGCTGATAGTGAAAATAAAGTTCACGACACAAATGCCAAGCTCCTCAGAGGGTGCTGCTAAGTGATTTGAGGACTAAAGGACCCAGAGAGAGAGAGAGAGAGATCTCTGGAGATTCCCCCCAAAGTCCTGAAACCCCAAATACCCAGTCCCCCAAGTGACAAAGCCTGGCACCATGCCAACATCATGCCCCGTCTACCTTCCGTGCTACTCCATGTCAGATGTTAATGCTAATGGTGTTCAGAGCCTCTCTGTGGGTATTGACTTGTTCTACCAATGATCTGCTCCATTCACTCATTGACTCCTCCCGACACCTTCAAACCTCTGTTTCATACATGGGGACCCTGAGACATGAAAAGTCATGTAGCTGGCAGGTGGTAGAGCTGGTATTTGACCCCAAGGAGTCTGGTCAAAACCTGTGAGCTTAAGCTCTCCCCTCTCTCGC